ACAAGTACGAGTACTACAAGTTCTACTACTTCAACTAGTACTACCTCGAGTACCGCAAGTACAACTACAACAACTACTAAAACTACTACGTCAAGTACCTCGACAACAACTACAACAGCAAATCCATGTAAGTAAAGAGATATTCAAGTCAGTTATACTATAGTATCCTAAAAATATTTATTTATTAAAAATTTGTCGAAAATAACTGAAATTCTAATATTTAGTACAATAGCTTTTAGATAGATCTTTATATTTGTTTTGTATTCATTTTTCATATGATATCGGTTTTGAAACAATAAACTCCGGAAAACTCCTGTGTTAAATAAAAAAAAAATTATTTAATTAATTTATCTGATATGTGGAAATAATATTTAAAAATTATTTTCTAAAACCCTCTCGTGCTTCAATGGCTTGTAATTAGTCAAAAAGAAGATAATTTAATATTTGATTTCATTACGTGTTGAATTGACATTTATTTCATAACTAATATTTTTTTCATGACCATTTAATATAAAACACATTACAATACAATGCATGTTCTCTCTTCTCTCCTATGAAACCTCTATAACTGAATCAATTCTAACTCTTACAAATACACTGTCTCTTCTTTCCCTGATTAATGATAATCATCTTAAAAAGAGAACAAAACAGTGTACATATATATAAAGACAGAATAATATTATGTAAGATTATAATAAAAAGTACTGAATAATTAATGATAATTTTTCTATTAATTATTAGGTATATCTGGTAATTTACTTTGGAATAAAACTGGTATTACAGTGCTTGGTTCAGTAGCAGCACCAGTATCAGCATCTGGTGTATTTCTTGACTCAAATAATACTTTATATGCTGCCGATGAGCCTGTTAATGGTGTTGTATGGAAACTATTGAAAAATGCTATAAATGCAACGATTGTAGCTGGAAACTATGGATCACTAGGATCAAATAGTTCTCAATTATTTTATCCTAATGATGTTTATCTTGATAGATCCGGAAATATGTATGTAACTGATATGTTTAATAATCGCATACAAAAATACATTAATGAATCAAAAATAGGTATAACTATTATTGGTAATTTATCAGCTGGATCTGCATTAAATCAATTAACTAATCCACGATATTTTACTTTTGATTCAACAGAAACATATATGTATGTTGCTGATGCTGGAAATCATCGAGTTGTACGTCATTTAACAAATACAACTTCAGGTACTAATGGAATTCTTGTAGCTGGTGGAACCGGAGCTAACAATACAAATACATCATTGAACACTCCATTTGGTATTCATTATTTACCGTCTATAAGTAATGATCTATTTATAACAAATTACGGTGGACATTCAGTTATACGTTGGACTCCTGGTGCTTCATCAGGCACTTTCGTTGCTGGTGTGCCAGGTGTATCAGGTTCTGATTCAACTCACTTAAATAGTCCGATGGGAATTAGGATTGACAATTATATGAATATGTATGTGGTTGATTATAATAACCACAGGGTACAGTTGTTCTGTGCTAATAGTAATATTGGTATTGCCATTGCTGGAAATGGTTCTGCGGGTAATGGTGCAACACAATTAAATTATCCACGAGGTATTGCGTTTGATTCAGCAATGAATATGTATATTGGTGATGATGTCAATGGTCGCGTGCAAAAGTTTATGAAACTTTAAAATACTATAGACAAACTTTGTATTAATCAGATTTTCTTTTTTAAATTATTAATCATAATATTTTATCTCGTTGAAGTTTAGCTTGAAGCTTTTTAGAAAAAAGACATTTTATAACAAATGGTGTACATTGCAATTGATTTACTCTTCTTTATAATTATCTTGTCTATTTTAATGCTTTTCTTTTTTGCTTAATTCAATAAATAATATCAGAATCTTCATATCTAAATGAAATTCTATATCATAATCGAATAGAATTCGACATATACAAAACGATTCAATTTATTTAGACGATTTGCATAACAATAAATAATGTTTTCTTCAAAGCCACCTGTAACAACTACATTAATTGTTTTGGTTTAGCTTTCGAGTCTGATTATTAATTGAAGAGAGTTCAACAAAAAAAGGCAACGTGAACTCGTTCATAGTTGATTCAATATATTTTTTCACAGATAAGATGTTTAATGTTGTAACGAGAGAATCAATTTTATTTCAAGACTATGAAAAGTATTACAGATCATATATATTTAGAATGGTTTACAATAAATATATATTATTGATGACAAAAAGTAGTTAGTTATTAGTATTGTAGATTGTGTAAATAAATTACATAGCTTTAAATTGAACTAAGATTGGATAATGATCAGAAATATCACCAATATTATCGTAAACTTCTACGGGAAGTATAGCTAAGTTTTTTAAAGATGCTGAAACAATATAAAAGTCGATCCATATCTTTTCGCGAGTACCATCTCGACGAAGACCAACTCTAGTAGGCTTATCAGTTGTAATAGGAAATAGTAAGTTGGAGCAAGATTTATCACCAATAATCTCGTGAAGAATTTTCATAAAAGCTGATGAATTACGATTTATGTCACCTACGAATACAAATGGGTTATTGTTATTAGACCATGTGATGTTCTTGAGTAGCGAAAAAGCTGCTTTATTATCGTATGGTACATGAGCATTTATAACACTTAAGCCAGATGCAGTTGTTACAGTAAGTGCACCTTTGCCAGGATCAGAGGGACAAGGCGTCCATAGAATTTGATCATCAATTAAAAAATGTTTTTCTGCATTCTCCAATTCACTTTTTGTTTCAGTAAAGACGGTGTTTGGATTATAATGAATTGTAACAAGACTCTCATTCGAATCATTATAGAGAAAGCCACCCTGTCTATTTCGAATTTGTGGTTTACGTGAATAAGTATGTGTATGTATCAACGGTTTACTAGTTAATACTGAACCAACATGAGCATCAATCATTTTACGTAGCATTG